AACTGTATCACAAATATACCGGAAGGCAGGTCTGAAATACTGAATAGATATGGTACAAGCCAGAAATGGCCCCAAATCAGTAAACTAAGAACTAATAAAGACAACTGTAGTATGCTTTACGTAGGAAGGGTATGTAATCTCTCACACACATACAGAATAGAGAAAATGGGACCACTGAGGAGGGTGTAAGGGTTATTGCCAATGATCAATTCAGTAAGAGACAATGAGGTGAAGCTGCCACAAAGGTGACATGAAGGCTGTATGTGACTGTAGCCATGGGAGTCTCCTGAGCACAACAAAGGCTGTCAGACTGGCTCACCTGGCAGCCCTGAAGTTGAATGATGACTTCAGTTTGGACTCCACCATTTAAAAAGATCAAAAGATGTTCAGGAGAGTTGAGGGGAGTGTTGCCAAATCTATTGATTATGTTTTAATTATACTGATTACTTTGAATCCCCAATTAACACTGAAATTCTTGCCCCAAGACCAGGCTCACTAGTATCAGAATTACTGCTCAATTGGACGCTCTGATGTGCATGACAATCACAACAACACTCACACTGAAGGAAGATTTTGAAGTTGTAAAATCTTTATTTTCATGACGATTAGTCCTATAAGTAAACCATCCAAGTAAGGTGAAGTAATACAGTCCTGTAATTATGTTCAGCACCATGACATATTTATACTCCCTCTATCCTTGGGTAGGACTCGAAAGGTTGAGGCAGATCCTAGTCAGACTCCAGCATGCCAGTGGAGAACTCCAACGGCTTAATCCGTGACCAGATATTTGATAGGCCTCATATATATGTATAAGCCAATTCTCCTCATAGATATGTATAAGCATCTCCTCCCTCCTTTACCACATCTCAATTTCTTCACCCTCATAATGTTGGGGTGTTCTTATTCTATAGGTTAATTATTAATTAGTTTAGGCTTATTAGCATATATGTCAATTGGTTACTATGGCTATGTGCAGTTGGACATCTGCTAATGTTTTCTTCCAAAAATACCCTAAACTGGTACCAACTGACTTCTTACCATTAGCTGTCAGCAATTTTATGAGTAATCTCAGCATTTTCAATATTGCAAAACAAACATAACTAAGTTTTATGCCATTTTATGACTTAAGGTCACTGCTACTTTATTTACTTGTGCTAACTCTATTAAGCAACTTACTTGTAAGACCGTTGGGCCTTGCACAATCTAAGTGCTTAAGCTGATCTGTATAGGCCTAGGCCTATAAGTCTCTTGCATTTCTCCAATATCTTCCTATCCTGTATCTTATCATTGTTACATGGGCTACACAGGGCCAAAGGAAATGCCCAAAAGTTTGGAAAACGAGACCAGTCATAAATGGCCATGAATATGGGCCAAGTCAGTCCATCAAAAAGTAGAGTACTGGGAAAAGTGGGAGGCCTACAGGTAGGGGAAAGGATGTTACAGAAAGGAAAGGGGTGATAGTTCTCATTAGTGACTCAGGATGGGATGGAGAAGGCTACAGGAGACAGCAGTGAAATAGTAGTGACATTTTTGTGACTATTAAGAACAATAAAGCAATGGGGTGAGCTTTCAAGGGGGCCCAGATACATCACAGTTTTGGGTACCTAGATCCTGTAGTAACAGGAAATTAGCTACATCCTGGCAAGGAATGCCTGGGTACTCCATGGCATAAAATATGCCCTGGCAATGGGTGCATGGAAGGGCCCAGGCGATGGGGATGCCGGGATGGACCCAGGCAATGGGTGGCACTGGGCGACAGGCCCAGGTGATGGGCCCACGGAGGGGCCCAGGTATTGGGGGCGAGGGGCCCAGGCGATGGCGCACTGTGCAGGGGGGGTGATGGTGCAGTGGGGGCGAGGGGCCTGGGCGATGGTGCAGTGGCTGATGGGGGTGAAGGGCGCAGTGGGTGATGGGTGCAGCGGGCAGTGGGGGTGAGGGGCGCACCGGGCAATGGGGGCAAGGGGCCCGGGTGGGGGGAGCAGCGGGCGAGGGGTGGCCCGGGCACAGGGGGCGAGGGGGCGGGGGGTGATGGGGGCGAGGGGCCCGGGCGGGGGGAGCGGCGGGCGAGGGGGGGCCGGGGGGCGGGGGGTGTGGGGGGGGCGGGGGGCGCAGCAACACCTCGCGCTCCGCTTCGGGAGCTCAGCGGCGGTGCGGCCCCGAGGCCGCCCCCTCCCATGCCGGGTGGGCGCTGATTGGCCACCGCCTGTTTCCAGCCCCCCCGCAACCGCTCACCCCGCCCGGCGCGCGCTCCGCTCTCGCCCGCTCCGGTTCCACCCGGTGTTTTTTATTCGGCTCCTTAGACAAAACAGCGGCGGCAGGTGATTGGTTGCGAGGGGGCTGGAAACAGGCGGTGGCCAATCAGCGCCCACCCGGCATGGGAGGGGGCGGCCTCGGGGCCGCACCGCCGCTGAGCTCCCGAAGCGGAGCGCGAGGTGTTGCTGCGCCCCCCGCCCCCGGTACACCCCC